CCCGTCCCGTCCCGGAGAGCCGGCGCACAAACGTGCCCTCACCGAAACAGGTTCAGGCGCCCGCGCTTCCTCTTCCCCGTCCCCCGGCCGCGCCTCTCGCTTCCACACTGACTCCCCCGTTTTGACTTAGATTCTAACTCTAATGTTTCAGTCTAAGCCCCACTCCTCGGGCTCCTTGTTTAGGATTTTCTACGAGTTTTTATGTTTTGCTCTTTTTCCCCCTCTGTCCGCCGCTTCATTTCTTTCCGTCTAGGTCTTGTCCCCCTCCGCCTCGCCCCCCTCTTTCTTTCCTACTCTCGTTGCCGGCCATGTCTGGAGCGCGGATCCGGCCGGTCGCCGCTGCCCCTCGGCGGGAGGCAGCGAGCCGGAGCGCGGCCCCCGGCTGCGTCTCTGCGCCGAGAACAACCGAAGCTCCGTCCTTTGTTAACGCCTGCGAGCAGGGGTCCGTCTTGCATTCCTCTAGGGCAGACCTTTGAAGACAAAGACGACTTGCGGTGCGAGTTTCCAGTTTTGTCATTTAAACGGCCTTTTTGTTAATAAAGGTGACCTGAACAACAAAAAAGACTGAGAATGCAGCGTTATTTTCACTAGCGGTGAACCAAGACCTTGCCGTGCACGCGACTAGCTAAAATAGATATTGTGAAAATACTTGATGAAAGTGAGTTTTCAGACTTTACAAAACTACGTAAGAGATGCATTGGCAGTAAACCGTTTAACAATTCAGCTGTCGACAGCGGAGCGGCAGAAGCCGTTCTAATCTACTATTTTCCTTCGAGCTCATTCGAAGAGCACGCAGTGAAAGCTGAGGTTTTGCTTTCTTTTTGAACTGCCGCAAATGCTCCTTTAAATATCAGAAACGGCATCCAAGCTGACCGTACTCAAAGCGTAATGATTTAATCACTGAAATATTTGACCGCATGACTTGTGCATTTCCAGCATGCAGAAGGAGGAGAGGAGTAGCGGAGAGGCTGGTGAATGATTCGAGGAGACACAGATCCTGCGTAAGCCAAAGTTCTGCGTGAGTCAGGGACGCGATTATAGAGCAGTTTCAGTTCCCGCTGCAGATGGCTCCTTAATCTGATTGCATAACCTGGTATTAGAGAATAAGGATAGGTCCCACTTCATGCTCCCCACAGCCACAGCTGAATGAATGATACAGTAACTGAAGCTAAACCGAGCATAAAGTCACAGGCAGCAGTTACCTAGAAGGCACGTTTCATGGATTAGAGAGGGGAATTGGATAAGGGTTGGAAAAAATACTGAACCCCGTTTTGTTATCAACCGAGCTGAAGACTGTATGGAGTGCCTGGGTTCAATTCCACGCTCTGCTGCTGTGCTATCTCAGGCAACAGATGTTTAACTCACTGAGTTTCTTGTGATTTCACACTTTCAAAAAATGTAATAATGTTAAAAAAAAAAAAACAAACACCAAACCACCAAAGAGTAATAATGATAAGGGGCCTTAAAGAAGAACACAGGAAGCACAAGCTGGGAAAAGTGGGACAAGGGTGAGTTCCAGGAATTCTTCAGTGGAAATCTGGGTCATGAACAGCAATTTCTGTACTCAGGCTATGTCTTTTGAGGTCCTTTTTATTTCTTCAGATGGATTTGACCTTACTGTGAGCATAAGATATGTCAGTCTGGGTTTGGCTGCTGTGATTTGGTACAACGGAAAGATCACTTGTGCACTTTAAAAATGTTTCTGATCCTCTTTGTATAGTTTGTGAGCAGTTAAAAGCCTGATAATACTACTCAGCCATGCTTGCCAGTATCTTAATTTATAGGCAGAATTTCAAGTAAAGTAGTATCATAGGTCCATGATTAGATCACAATAAGACAGTAGAAGTGCTGAGAAAGATGGTTGTGCCTCTGCCCTAAGCTGCTCGGTTTCACACCTGTGCCCTGTCCTTCGTTGTGCCTGTAAAAGCATTTCTATGACCTCACAGCAAACTGGATTGGGTTACAACTAGACCAGCAACAAGAAAATCAGTTACATGTAATCCTGATCTGCTTTATCACTGATCTGTGTGATATCCCTTCACACAAGAAGGCCCCATGGCAGGACCTTGTGACTGGTGCAGAGGGATGACCACCTCGTTTGGTACAGTAACAAAAAAATCACGTCACTTTTAATCTTACATCGTATGTGAGATCAAAAATTACAGAGAGCTGCAGCTAGATGGGTTTATCAGGCAGTATGAAGCTTACTACAGGATGGATTTGCAAACTTTTACAAAGCTTGGGCCCTCTGAAATAAAAAAAAAAACGCTCATCATAGAGGGATTCTACTAGATTGTATGTTGTCAAAAATGATGATTTTATAAGATCTGGTAGTGGTTAGTAGAAGTATTCAGATATAACTGAAGCATACATAGGGAGAGATTTTAAGCAAACATCAAAACATGCAGTATTGCAACAACATACTGATTATAGTAAAGCTTCAGAAATGAAATCAGTTCAAAGGCAACAGCAGCTCCAAACCAGCAACTCTGTACGTGAGACTTCACTAGCACTTATGGGCCATGCACACAAGCAGAGCTGAATTGTAGGGAAGGCAGCAGTAATCCACATCCTTCATGGGTGCCAAAAACACAGCATGAATGACTTGTGAGTGGCATGTGGAAGGAGCAGGAGCTACAGCATCTCAAAAAGCATGCCTGAATTCTCAGCTCCCAGGCTTTGCAGCCAGTGGGACTTGGTGGCCCCTCCTGGCACTGAGGCAGGCCAGGCACAGGTGGGAACCAAGCAGCTTGTGTCTCTCTGAGATGCCATATGTCCCAGCTCCCG